GGGGGGGGGGGCACGTCTTCGTAGTTTCCCTGACTCTCCCCAGCACATGATACACCATTGTTGCTTTCCTCGTCTGCTTCCTCTCTTAGATCCTACACTCTTTGAAGGGAAGAGAAGATGTCATTCCTAGCACAGGCTTGGTATGCAGTAGGTACCCAATACACGTTTGAGGATATGAATGTGATTCCAGAAGGAGGTGCCTTCGGTCTCCTCATGAGAAGAAAACCCAGAGCAGCTGGACTGGAACCAGCTGTGAGGCAGCAATGAGCAAGTGAGAGATGCTGGCCCAGGAGCTCAGAACAAAATGTGCTAGTCAATGAACAAAAGTCATGGTAGGCCCCTAAGGAGCTCAAGGCCCTGAACTTGGTACTGGGAGAAGACAGAGAAGGAGGGAGTCAATCCTGGCCTTCAGGGAGTTTCTTCAGGATACCTGAGGGGGTCAAACCTGTCCAAGGTGAGTTCATGGGCATCTCTGTGAGGTTGGGTGACACCTAACATCTCGGGAGCAGGACAAGGATTCTGCCCAGGTTTCTAGCTCCTTCGCCAGTACTGGCCACTTTCCTCCTCTCCGGGCCAGGCCGAAGTGCCGAAGAGGGCTGGCAGGGTCCCCTCCAACTGAGGAGACTTTTCAAACATGTGGGATTGTCATGGGGCCCTCCAGGGGTGGCGAAGGTAGCTGGAGGGGAGAAGGGAGGAGAGGGGAAACCAGGGGCGGGCAAAGATAAGTTATACGTGGGGCAACGCACTGAGGGTCTGGATGGTGCCACGGGTTAGGCAGGAGAACAAGGTGGGCCAACGCTGGAGAGGCAGCTTGGGGCTTGGGAGCCCAGAGCCTTGAGTGTCCCGCTTAGAATACGGCACTTCACAAACCAGTTTCTTCATACAGTTCGGGGGATGAGAGAGTTAGCATTTATTCGTGTCATTATTTAATTAATGTCTGTCTCTCGCAGTGCGAGCCCCATGGGGGTGGGGTGGGGCGCTGTGCCTGGAGAAGTGCCAGGTATGGAGCAGGCACTTAGTAAGTGTTCATCTAATAAATGATGTGCTTTTCAGTTTGTTTTTTGTGTTAGATTCCAAGGCAGCCTCAGGAGCCAGGCAGGCGTAGCCAGGCTGTGCCAAGCCTTGCAGCAAGTCCTCCTCCAGTCCTCAGTAGCTCATTTGAAGCAAGATAACTAAAAAGCAGAATAAGTTCGGCACCCATGGTAGCAGTGTCTTCTAAGACCCTCATGGCCCAGTCATCGTGGGCACTGCTGGTGGCCAGCACCCAGCGGTCTGCACAGGGAAGGGCCAGGCCATGCTTCTCTAGGTCAATCTGGCTCTCCTGCTGGTTGGACCAGGACATTTGCCCACTTTGACACCTTTCTCTAAGTTCAGCACCCAATCCCCAAACAGGACCTCCCCTTTCCTGTTGCCTGAGGCCCCAGGAGAACGACTCTCCACCCCCTCCCTGCTCTACCCCTACAGGCCCAGTGTGCTCACCCTCTCAAGCTGGCAGACGCCCTGCCCCTGCTGGAAGGTCACCCCCAACCATGCCAGTTCCCTCCAGCTCCCTGGATTTTCCAGAGCTAGACTCAGAGTGGCCAAGTGAGTTGAAAAGAAAAAAAATACACATCCTCCCTCCATGCCCAGACTCCTCACACTTGAGCTGGGGAAGTGCCAACAAAAACAGCATGATGTCATCCCCACCCCACCCCACCCCCACTGATTCTGTTAATTCCTTTTCTGCCAAATATCGAGTCTTGGTTTTTATTTAAAAGTGATTTTATTGTCAGAGGCTGGTTAGAAGCTCTGAGGGCTATGTTGGGAAACCTGGTGGTGTCTTTGATGTGTAGAGTGCTACAGAGACCTCAGCCCCCTGAGCGCCAACAAGGAAAGAAATGGGATTTGCAGAAGGCTGGGAAGCCGGAGGAATGCTGTGTCAGACAGTGTGCTTTACCAACGGCCTCTGGTTTTGCATTTCGCAACCAGCTCACCTCTGCAAGGCAGCCTATGAGAGAGGATTTCTCAGCCTCTAAGGGGCCTGTGAGAGCACCACAGTCCTGCTCTGGACCACCTTTCCTGCCCCCATCATCATGAAGGAACAATCTTCCCTCTGTTGAGGTGCCCTGCCCACACTCACACTCCTATCACCAGGTATCCAAATCCCAACCCATTCCAGAAGGGCTGCCTTCAAGAGGTGAGGTGGACTTGAGGCCAGGAGGCACAGGTTTGAGGCTCAGCTTTGGGCAACTCTGGAAAAGCCACTTCACCTCTCTAGGCTTAGTACCTCATCTGTACAACAAAAATATGAATACCTGCCCTATACCACATATGACCACCCAAATGTCCAAATGAAATCATGTAGCTTCCAGAGCTCTACAAACTATGAAGAGCCTTGTACTAAGGCCAAGCATCATGGTGAGTTGGGTAAAGTGCCAAGAAGGGCTGGAGCAGCGAAGAAGCTGGAGGTGTGTGCAAGGGGGTGATTCCAGTGAAGGACCGTGGAATCTAGGACAGAAAGAAAGGGAAATGAAGCCAGGAGGACACTGATGGGTAGTGAGAAAGAACTGGGCCCAGTAGGTCTGGGTTCATGATGAGGACAAAGAATTGTTGTAGGAAGGCCAGAGGAAGCTGGAAGGACAGGAAATGATGGCCAGAGAGTGAGATGCTGAGTTTGGGATTTGGGAGGTATGCCCTTTTGGTGTTGGGGAGGGAGTGGGCAGCTGAGATATGAAAGTGTTCTTGGCAACAAGGTCCAGATTGGGATCCTAGACAAAAATCATCCTCAGGGATGATGAAGGCCCAGGAATGATGAGGGAGTTGGGGTGGAAGGGGCATCTAGGAGTCCAGAAGCCAAGGTGGTTGGTGATTGGGTAGGTTGACCAGGAGAACTGGAGAACATCAGGGAAGGGGAGGAAGCTGAATGGTATGAGTCTAAAGGAGCAGGGGCTTTCACAAGATTAAGGGGAGTATAGGAGTGGCTTGGGGAACCAGGAAGATTTCAGACTGACACCCCGACTCTGAGGAAAGGATAGGGTAATAGCAGCCCCCACCTGAGAGGACAACAGGCTGAGAGAAGGGACTGTTCCAGAAAAAAAGGCAAAGGATACAGGGATTTCCTGTCATGGAGCAATGAGAAGATGAGGGGGAACAAGCCAGGGACCCAGTCCAGTGAGATGAATAGAGTAGTGTGGGGATGGAGTCTGGGGGCCAGTGGGTACAGGAAGAGGCCTAGGTTACTGGCTGAGGCTGAGGAGAATGGGGATGGATAGGATGGATGTGATCCCTATGGTCACAGGGCGGGGGGGTGGGGGGTGAGCACGTGAAGCTGAGGGCTTCCCACAGCGGCTTGGCCACAGCGTGGGTCTGGGCAGACCAGCCTTGACTGAGCAGTTATCCAAGGGCACGTCCATGGACCTCACATGGTGGGTGGGGGATCTTCAGACAACTGCTCCAGTGGTGCCTGTGAGAAGGGACGATGGCCCCACAGGCTGGAGGGGTGGCCCAACCAGGGACTAGGTGAGTTCTGAGGTTCAGCCCACCTCTGCCGCTCTGTGACTCATGCTTCATGAGTTGTCCCAAGGACGGGCCCCAACTCTGGACTTGAGACTGTTGTCATTGCTCAGTTTCTAATTTCAGCTAGTGCAAGTGCCTTGACCACAAAATGCTGAGAAAGGAAGTGGGTACCCCGGCCTTCCCCAGAGGACTGAGCATAGCCGCCCAAAGCCCATCCCACAGGGAATCAGGAGGGGTCTGGACTGATGGAGAGGAGGGAACATACAGAAACCCCTTGTTCACAGGGCTCACAGGGGACTGTGGAATCAGAGATCTTAAAGCTAAAGGTGATACTGCTATTTCTGCTGCAAATGATGGCCACTACTACTTATAGGACACCTTCTGTATGCGAGGCATATTACATGGCATGGCTCATTTATTCTTCACACCAGCTTAGGGAGGTGGTATTCTCACCCTTGCTCTTACAGATGAGAAAATGGAGGTCCACAGAGATGAGGAACTGGCTAAGTGGTGGGGACTTAACCCCCACACCACATTGACCTGACTGCAAAAGACTTTCTTATCCAGGGATGAGAAAATTGCAGCTCCATCGTGGGATGTGGCCCATCCTAGGACACTCAGAAGGCCAGGGGCAGAGCAGAACTGACGCTCAGGTCTCCTGACTGCCATTCCACAGTTCTCTCCATCCCACCGTGTGGAGACCACTTAGAGTATCCATCTTTTTCCCTAGCCAAAGGACATTTTCCACCATTCACAAGTACTCTTATGTGAGGTGAGATGTGTGGTATCCAGCCTCCAAGAGAGCTCACAATGAATCTCGCCGTTAGGTATTCACCCTGTGTGTAGTCCCTCCCTGCCTACTGGGTAGCTAATAGGATGTTATAGAAATGACCGTGTGCTTTCTCTCAGGGAAGCCAGCCCCCATGTTGTGGGGACGCTCAAGCAACCTATGGAGAGGCCCATGTGGGGTAGAAGTGAAGGCATGTGTCAAAAACCAGCCCTGACTTGGTAGCCTTGTGAGCGAGCCACCCTGAAACCACATCATCATCCAGCCCCAGCCAAGCCTTCAGGTACTGCAGCCCCAACATCTTGACTTCATGGAAGACCCTGAGCCAAGAACCCATGTCTGGTATTTTCACCATAAGCATCTTCACTGCAAGCGTGTTTGCCGCATAACTAATTAGCTGTAAGGCAATTTTAACATAAAAGATAAAAACACAAAAACAAGGGAGGGACATTCATTAAAAAGGACATAATGAAACATGAAAAATGAATAACAAGATTTTTAAAACTGCAGTGTGAAATGCAAAATATTTGAAGATATTTAAAATGTGTATAGATTCACAGCAATTCTGTACCAAAAAAAAAAAAAAAAAGGTTTTATATTGTGGATTTTATCTAAGCACTTGTCTTCATTGTCTTTCATTAAAAGAGATATTATACATCTTGTTTGCTTGTTGATTCATCTCCTTATTCAGCACACACCTTTTTTTTTTTTTTTTGCTAAAATTTCTGTCTTCATTAAGAGAGGTATCAGTTTCCAAATACTAGGATGTGTATTTGTCACTGAGCTTTGAGTTGCTTCGTGAAAGCCTCCCACTCTGGTGAGCTTGTCTGTTCACGTCTGTCACATGTCCATTGATAGACATCCTAAAGTTCCATGGGAAATGTAGGTTCAAAATTCTGGGCCACTGTATAAACCATAATGAGGGCTGAGATTTACATAATATAAAAACAGGAGTACTGTCATCATTGGGGAAATGAAACCAAGTGTCCACCAGTGATGAAACAAACAAACTGTCAAAACAAACTGTCAACCAGTTTTTTTTTTTCCTTCTACAGCAAACTTGCCTTACCACCAAGGAGCTGGAAGGCGAAAATTCTTGTGGCTTACAGAGAAATTGCCTAGAACTGCCCGAACAGCCACATTAAGCCATTCCTAGATTCCTGCCCTACAGAAACTGTGAGAGATAATAATTGTTTACTGCTTTGAGGCATCACACTTTGGGGTAATTGTTAAACAGCAACAGGTAACTAACACGGGCGGGCAGACCTCTACTGGCTCATGTGTCAGGATTTGATGAGATTCTCCTTGACATTTCTACTCTCTGTGTTGGGAAGTCCTTCATCTTGAGAGAGGTAGACAGAAGCCCTGGTGCCTCCCTGTCCTCTGTAGAGCTGGGAACAGAGACTGGACAGCCACGTCTGCCTCTCTGGCTCTCAGCTGTGCTAAGCAACAATGCTTTGACCATTTCTACCAAGGGTCAGCAAAGCGTTCCTTAAAAGGCCAGAGAAAGTCCATTTCAGCCCCGGTAAAGACTGTATGACTTTAGGCCTTGCAGGCCACATAGGATATTTGCTACAACTGTTCAATTCTGCCATTGTAGCACAAAAATAGCATTCAACAATATACACAAACAATCAGGTATTTTCTAATAAAGCTTTATTTATAAAAACTGGTGAGTGATCCACGGGCCATAGTGGGCCAATCCCTAGTTTACACAGAGGGAACAATACACGAAGGTCTTTGGTCAGACAGGCTTATGGGGCTGGAAGGACACTACCTATAGAGGGAAGGCCATTCCTCAACTGCCTTACCCTGGGCCCCACGAATGCCTTACCCTTGTCCCAGGAGGCCACATATATTTGGCATCTCTTACAAACACAACTACCTATGAAAAACACGGGAGCTCTCGGTTTGCTGAGAATCTGGGAACTTGTCACGGCTATTACTGAGTAAGTGTCCATACCTGCTGGTAGGTCCATTTCAGCCCCGGTAAAGACTAGATGCCTTCATTGGTTATTGCTTTCATACATATCACCTTCTTTCTTTCTCCCCTCTAATTATTGTTGTGTAGCAAATTACCCCACAACTCAATGGCTCACTCATGCGGCTAGCATGAGGCTGCTTGAATGTCCTCACAACATGGCAACTGGCTTACTCCACAGCCACCTATCCTGGAGACCAAGGAAGAAGCTTCAGTGCCTCCATGACCACGCTCTGGAAGTCACACATTGTCATATCTACTGATTCTATTGTTCACACAGGTCAGCCCTGATTCAATGGGGGAGGAACTATAAAATAGTAAGAATACCAGGAGACAAGGATCGTCGGGGGCCATCTTGGAGGCTGGGTAGAGTGAGTGGGTCCTGAGGTTAATGCCACACTGGGGATGGTCACTACAAAAGCTCACCCACTTAAGTTTGGTTGTTGTGGAGTGGGGGGCAAATAGAAGGGACATGATCATCTGTTCAAATGTGTATAAGTGACTTGTATTTTTAGGCCCTGTCTCGAGGCACCAAGTTTCAGGTACCAATGGTTGTGGGTTTTAGCTACATTTGACCACACATTTTCCTTGGGGTTCCAATGCCACCATCCTTGATGATCTGCCATTTCTAGGAATCTGCAGTAAATGTTTCTCTTTCTGTTTTGGCTTCCCAGCATCCAAATACTTTCCTAGAGGAATTTCCCATGTGAGAGTCTTCGTAGGGTCAGGTTCCTGCCTGGCTCTTCAGCCTTTCTGTCAGTACCTGATTTACCCTATGACTCTCCAATAAACCCCTTTGCTGTTTCTTTGTTTATTTTTTATTATGTTATGTTAGTCACCATACATTACATCATTAGTTTTTGATGTAGTGATCCATGATTCATTGTTTGCATATAACACCCAGTGCTCCATGCAATACGTGCCCTCCTTAGTACCCATCACTGGGCTAACCCATCCCCCCGCCCCCACCCCTCTTAAACCCATAGTCTCTCATGTTTTGTCTCCCCCTTTGACTTCTCCCCCTTCATTTTTCCCTTCCTTCTCCTAATGTCCTCCATGCTATTCCTTATGTTCCACAAATAAGTGAAACCATATGATAATTGTCTTTCTCTGCTTGACTTATTTCAGTTAGCATAATCCCCTCCAGTTCCATCCATGTTGATGCAAATGGTGGGTATTCATCCTTTCTGATGGCTGAGTAATATTCCATTGTATATATGGACCATGTCTTCTTTATCCATTCGTCTATTGAAGGGCATCTCGGCTCCTTCCACAGTTTGGCTATTGTGGACATTGCTGCTATGAACATTGGGGTGCG